TAAAGAAGAGATTATATGTACTTTGTCTATACAACATTTTGTTTCGTGAAACCATTTGTGCATGCGACGTTTTTTTTTGCAACGTTTTGTCCATGCAACATTGTGTCCATGCAACATTTTGTCCTTGCAACTATTTGTCCATACAACAATTTGTCCGCAACATTTTGTCCGCAACGATATGTCCGCGACATTTTGTCCGCAACATTTTGTCCGCGGCATTTTGTCTTGCGACATTCAGTCCTAGCGCCGAAAACAGGACTAACGAGTCGACCAGCAGCATTGACAAGTAGCATTACTGTATACGAATGTGTGGTGGCGTTGAGTGATTTAACGGTGATAAACGTCGATCTTTCATTTTGAAAAGATAAAGTACGATTTGATGTAAATTCGTAATGAAAACCTGATTGATCAATATTAAAAATACATTCAAGCTTGTACTTCGGTAAGATCTTTTTTAACTTCACTAACGAACTCTTCGCCGGCTTGGTGAATTTCTTGTTTATGGAAAACCTCATGTTTTGCAACAAATTTCGTGACTTTCCTGGAGCCAATTTCGTCGTTTAAAATTCGACAACCATTTATCGCTAGCGAGGAAATTATCGATACCTTCCACTGCAGCTTGAGTTAATGACCATCGTCGGATGTCTGTATCGTGAACCGGCAAATTTGTATCGCGTGCTTGTTTAAACTTTTCAAGAACGGACAATTCAAGGCGAGATAGTTTTTGTCGACGATTTCCATCGTTTTCCACATGTTCTCGAAATCGTGCTAATTGCATTGGATATTTTACGCGTGGAAATTCACGTTGTACTGTTGTGAATACGATACCCGGCCGAGCAAAATCTACAACTTTTCTCATATAGTCCAACGTAAATGCAGTAAATTTGGAACCGGAGTCGCTACTATTATCATCAGGCGTAAAGTCGATATCAATATTGTCGACGAGCTCCAGAGTAGTACCGTCATCAATTTCATAACTGTCGCTTGTAAAAATGCCGTTCAACAGATTCAGTATTTGATCAGCGATTGAACACGTTTAGCGATATTTGCGATATTTATCATTTTGATAAAGGATATTATCCTGATGAGAGGCTCACTCTGAAGATCTTGACGGCGAAATGTTTTATTGTGAACTTATGTTCTCTGTTTTATGAGTGGACGTGATGCAAAAATGAAGAAAGAATAAGCGGTATTAATAATTGCCTTTTCTTTTCTCTCTGTTTATATGAAATTATAGTTAGAAGAATACACGGTCAGTCGTAGAACAGTCCATGAACAGGACAGCATTATAACTTGTACTGTTACTACTCACAAGGCGTAGAAAACGAATATTCCATGCGGAAAAAGAAATAAAACGTCAAGTTTGGTCATTACAAAGAGTATGAATACGATACACACATACGAATCGATGAATTTGATGCTCCTATGCTATATTCCATTGGAGAATTTTCAACATAAAATTCTTAGAGGATGGTCCATCGGGAAAAATGCTTAATACTACTGTGCTCAGCTCGTCGAGCTCTATCGATTGGGGTACCTCTCGTTAGCATCTGTGATTAACACTTGGGATAGTTCCCTCGTGAGACAGTTTTTACAGTCACAGTTAATCGTAACTGTTGCATACCTAGTTGGGAATGCGTATTTAATGAGATCAGCCAGTGCATACATCCAGCTACTAGTGATAGAACTTATTTGCAAAATAGTGGAAGTGCGTAGGTATTTAACCTTTTACACACCTGGGAATTTTTCAGAGTTTATATGTAGTTTTTTGAGATATCAGCGCTATTTTCTACCCCTTAAAATCTGCTACGTTGTCTAATTTGTTACATTCGGATAAAGTAGCGACACACAATGCGACCCCCTGATGTTGTCGAAACACAATGGATTCCATATACAGCTTTTTGAGCCCTTTCTAATACTGAGGTCCCATTACCGTAATAGTGTCAAGTTTTTTTCGATGATGGTTTTTTACCACTCAGTTGAGTACTTCATGTCTCGATCGGGATATAGAGCATCGGGCCATTGCCGTGACATTAATTTATCGATAACTCAAAAAAAAGAAAACATCTGCAGAATATGTTTTCATAACTGTCTTACTAGAAAGAATTCTTTGCATCCTCGTTTCAGCATATTTATTTAGAATATTTAAATAATTGTGGGGCGATTTCTGTATTTATATATGTACAACTGTCCGCTTATTTTTCAACTATTTCTCTTTTTTACTAGCTAACCTTTCTTTCTAAAAACAATAATAAAAGTAGAAATAAAATGAGAGAAATTGTATTGCGTAATTTTAAACGTCTGTGTGTATTTGGTCTTCGACTATCATATCTTTTTCTTTCTTTCTTTCTTTCTACGTATTCCTTCAGAAAACTAAGCGGACAATTGTACATATATAAATGCAGAAATCACGTCATTTAGTTTAAAAAGAAACTCTTTTGCTTCAGTATATTCTTGACAATGATTTGCGACGTAACTTCTGCTTGTATCTAAAAGTAGACCGAAAAAACAAACAAACATAAACATTCTGAAACAACGTCATTTTTTCCACACAGTGGGACAAGCTTCACGGATCGCCAATTTTTCCTGACGAGGGAACATTCCCAGGTGCCCCGCTCCGATTTCGTTCGTTTATGCATCATTCGATAGGGGGTCTCGAGTAGATAAAAAGCCTAAAAGGATATCGGCTGACGACTCTATAAGACCCCGTTTTCTGGAAAACCAGTTTTTCAGAAACTCTAACAGAATAACCAAAACCTTTGTTAATAAGACATGATTGTAGCCCGCGAAATTCTCATAAGAACGAAACATCTCCCAGCTCTACATGACCTATCTTTGCAAAGTTATAGAATTTACAGGAAAAGCCCTGAATGTTCAGTGTCAACTCAAAGCTGCAGAAATCAGAAGAAATTAATTTAGGGCTTTTCTTGTAAATTCTATAACTTTGCAAAGATAGGTCATGTAGAGCTGGGAGATGTCTCATTTTTATGAGAATTTCGCGGGCTACAATCATGTCTTATTAACAAAGGTTTTGCTTATTCTGTTAGAGTTTCTGAAAAACTGGTTTTCCAGAAAACCGGGTCTTAAAGAGTCGTCAGCCGATATCCTTTTAAGCTTTTTATCTACTCGAGACCCCCTATCGAATGATGCATGAACGAACGCTCGGAGCGGGGCACCTGGGAATGTTCCCTCGGGAGAAAATCAATGGCCAGATTGTAAAGACAGTGGAGATACCTAGAGACAGAAACATAGTAATCGGAAAAATTCAAGTCGATAACCTAGAATGGAATGAAACAGAGAAAACTGTGCAAAAATGTATAGAATGCTTGCAACCAAAAGGGAATCTTAAAACTCCGTTTTACAAGTTGTTTAAACATTTTTTGTGCAAAACTATAAAGAATTTTATTTAAATTAGGAATGACATGCAAGCGCTCGAACATCCAGCGCGATTCGTAAGTCAGTCGCTCGAGCGACGAGCGTCCACTCGATTCGCCCCATACCTATGAAAGGCTGAATATGTTATAGGAAGGTTATACAGAGACCACAAATTGCCTTCATCCCACACCATCAGGATATAAAAAAGCGGTGGAAATCCAAAGGCTTTGGATGCCCCGCCGAAAGTATCTTACAGTTCAGCCGGTAACACATCGAATTCTTCATGTGCGATCCTCTGCATTCCATGTGTTTCAACCCATCCAACAGTTTATCGGCTTAGGCACTTAACAAGTAACTTTAAATGCGTTATAAGTTCAAGGCACAAATAAGAGAGAATAGTTAATGTGATGTTGTAAATCATTGTCGATTATATACACAACGATATTTTTACCAATATTTTAAATTAATAAATGGGTTTTCTAACTAATTCAAGATGTACCACTAGTCTACCTTATTTTTCGATCAAAATATTAATTACACTGAAAATCTCAGTTAATTGAAACCGGTAGTAATTTGTATTTTGGATGTTCCAACCGAGAAAAGGGAACTTTCTGAAACTGCAAGTATCATGACCTTGTATTCTGTCTGTAGTATTTGTGATAAAAATTTCAATCATATATTGCAGACAGATAAAGTATTTCTTGACTATACCACCAATTTCATACTACAGACAGAATACAAGGTCATGGTACTTGCAGTTTCAGAAAGTTCCCTTTTCTCAGTTGGAACATCCAAAATACAAATTACTATCGGTTTCAAAACAGAATAGAGTAACTCATTTTTCGAATAACTTCTGAATAGAAACGTCTAAAGACCTCCAGTTTCTACTAATGTACGTCTCCAATAATCAAATGACGATTAACTGCTGTGTATATAGCAAATTTATGTGTGTTTTATGAGTGACCATCACACATTGTATCTTGCGACTCTCATAATATAAGAGGCACACGTAATTCGAAGTTTAAGCAGCATTTTATCTTTCGTTTAAATACCATGTTTCGACGCAGAATTTCACGCTGATCACGAATATCTTATTTAAAGAGAATTGTGGTATGCGTTTTCCTTGCATCACTCCACAGCTTCCATAGTTATAGAAAATTTTTCGAAATTTGCCGTTATTACGTATGAGTGTGCTTCGAGATGGAAGCTTCGATAGAGCTGATATTTTGAGCATCTAAAGAGGTAGTCATGAACTAAATATGGTAAAAGTTTGAGCTCATTCCAACACTCCTAGGCACAGCTTTACAGTTTTTATTATCTCATATAACTCTCATAGAAAGAATGAAGACATACTACTAATAATGAGAACTGTATAGCTGTGCCTAGGAGTGTTGAAATGAGCTCAAACTTTTACCATATTTAGTTCATGACTACCTCTTTAGATGCTCAAAATATCAGCTCTATCGAAGCTTCCATCTCGAAGCACACTCATACGTAATA